TTGGTTGTGAACGAACTAATACGTATCGCTAAAATTATGTGCGTTATGTGTTTACGTTTTATGCGTTTAAATGACGCTCTACGCATTTTTTTAAATTATTAAATTGAAATCATGTTCAAATTTTTTAAATTTCGTCTAAAGCACAATTTTTCTTGTAGTGTGATCAAAAAAATGGTGGGAACTCACTAAGTACGTCAAATAACAGTATTCGCGTTAGAAAAGCTGATTATTAGAAAAACAATCTAAGTGTCTATAGAACTAGAATCAGCTTATAGTTCTTGTTAAAGACATAGCTCGAAGAGATTTCGCATTTTGGGTTGATGATTCTTGTTAGCGAACAATATTAAATAAAGTACTGTTAAACAGTCTTAAACAGTCTTAAGCACTTCTAAACAATTGGAAAAAATAGAGGATTTCAACATCAAAGCCACACCCTCCACACAAAACCAAAATTTAAAGAAGGAAATGTGGAAAAATTAGTTAATAAACTAAGACGACAGCACTTATTTGACCTCAGGAAATCTAGCCTGGCTTTTCATATATAGATTCCAATGCGTATGATTTATAATTTAAACAAAGTCGACCAACAATTATCTAAAAAATTGCCCCTTATTTCTAGAATAGTCAATGAATCAATAATATCTAAATAAGGGGCCTTTGTTGCGTGTATCAAAAAGAAATTGAACAATTTCGAATATTTAAGATTGCATTAACTGTATTTATTTAATAAATTATATATATTATATATATCAAATAATATCAAAATGTAAAAAACAATGTATTACAATTCGTTTTTTTAATAATAATATTGCGACGCTGAAAAGCACATACATGCTCCACATTACATCCTTCACTACCTTTCACGTATTTGTTCAGTATAGCGGAAATCTACGAGTTCAATACTTGAAAGCGTCTCATAAGGTCTATCATGCGTTTAAGCTTCTGCACAATTTTAATAACAATTAGATATATATAATTCAGTAAGTATGGAAAATTAAGTAACTATTAAAAGGCTGAGACTTACAATCGCTATGATATTTTCATCTCATCGGCAAGCTGCAGTCTTAAGATGTGGTAACAAAAGGCGAAAATTTCAAAACGCATTTGTGATGCACATAAAGCTATTAAAACTTTCTTGTTTTATTTTCAATACTTTGTGCTATTGATTACTCTCACTGTTCTCTCGATTAGCGGGACTAATGGTATTTGCAAAGCATTCATTACTAACAACTGGCTCATCTTTATGTTCATTCTTCATATCACTTTGTAGCACTTTAGATTTGGCGCCTTTTCTACCTGGTGCAGTTTGTAAAATTTCATTTATCCAAGAAATGCGTTCAGTTACACGGATTAAAATCTCAAAAACTGTGTTCTCATTTAATGCAACTAACTGCTTTTGTCAAAACTACCGATCTTTTTTTTCTAATTTATCTTACGTATATCTTTCTATGCCTCTCTGCTCTCAGCCTATTCTTGTTTCTTTCTTGTCCGGTTCTCTTTTTCCGGATTAACGGTACTGACCTTGAACTTGCTTTCACAATATTTCCACATCCACAAATAATCTATACATGCGGTCTTGCTCCCCGATGATTTCTACTTCTGTCTACAAAAAAGCGGAAATAATAACCTTAACCGTGCGGTTGTACTTGAGGAAGAGTTCAAAATTTCAACGAAAAATTTTCTTTCATGAATTTGTGCCTAATAGACCAAGAGACTCCAACCGTCTATAAAGTCAATTACAAAAACAAATTGATTTTCCAAACAATTTTGGCTAAGTTTTCCATAAATTGAGGAATATATAAAATATATAACGTAATTTATAGAAGATCTTTGTCGTCTGAAAGTACAATAGTATCTGTAGTTCACGCTTTCCGATTTGTAACGGTTTTGGATTTGAATGTACGAAGTTCAAGTACATGTTGAATTTTGAAGCGGACATAATGAATTTCAGTTTTTGTGTTCTTTGAAAAATTCTTAAGGGGCTTTTTAATCTGAAATCCTTTCACTGAGCAGGAAATTTTCTTCGTATAGACAGCGAAACAAAGCACATCCGCCAATGTACGATATTTGTTTTATCATTAGCTAAAAAAACACTACGGCAACGACACGATACAATCCGTACTTCTTTAATACTAATCAAAATCGAAATATATGTACAAATAGCAGCAGCTGTGTTTCACAAAAACCAAGTATTTTGCGCTCTTGTAAAAAAGCTGCACATTTATGTTTGGTACTAAACATTTCGTAAGTGATTAAAATCCAAGTTTTTCGATTTATCGTAAAGCAATTGAAGTGTTCAAAATTTTTGCCAGGTTTTTTACTAGTAGAGTCTACGTAACAATAATTATCAGTGAAACACTGCCTCTACACGTATTTATTTTGTGAATTTTTACTAAACATGCAAGAACAACAATCACCGGCTTTTGTAAGTATATTTGCCGCATAGTTCGCTTAAAATATGTAATGAAATTCTTCTATAAGAGTATCGTGGATCCTCTCAGTACAAGCTTTGGCAACACATTAGCGGGAAAATTCGTATGGGGCAATAAATTAGCTGTTTATGCCTTCCGTCCGATAACAGCAACTACAAGAGATGAGCCCACGGAAGATGCCGGCAAAAAACCGGTTAACATTCATTTCTTGCAACCCGAATTTATATTCGATGATCCTATACTAAGAAGCCTAATAGCTGAGGCTAGTTCGACCTTTGTAGCTTTACAGAAACTCAACTGCAAAGGATACAAAGCGGACTATATAAAAATTTCCCGAACGTATCGCAGTATCATAAGAGCTTGCCTTGAAAAGCTGCAGGAAGCTGCCAGTTCAACAGAACCAGAGGCCATGGAAAAATGCGAATTATATCAACAATTTATAGCAATATTTTACTCCATAGAATGTGTTTGGCATTTAAGCGAGATTTTATTTCTGCATCCCAGTAATTCACATGTGGTAGTGCCGCAACTTTTAGAATGGGTGCGCTTTCATTTTCCATCGTACGAACGTATGGCCACTGATTTATTGCTATTGGGGCCAGATGGCAGCAAAAGCGATGAATATTGGCCATGTTTGAAGGGCTTAATCATGCAGGGCCAAGTGGATGTAGCTAGAGCATTATTGCAATTGCATCCCCAGGCAGGGAGTGCAGCATACGAAATAGCAGAACAGATTTTGAAAACTATGCCTACCTATAACGTTAGTTTGTGGCGTTTATAATGCGTCCTGTATATTTACATCGAACTTTAACTCTCTTTAGATTCTAGGCGGTTTTTCAGTACAAAAATTTCGCTCTCAATGGCAGTATTGGTTAACAGACACAGAACGTAAGCTAGCTGCTAACACTTTATCTGTAGAGCCTTATTTGGAGGAACTAATTCAGCTGGTGACAGGAGACACTGAAATTTGGAACACTCAAATTCATAATTCGCAGTACTGGTACGAACATCTGCCTGGTCACTTGTTTTATACAAATCCGGCATGCACACATTTTGAATTGGGCGCAATAGCAAATGCTTGGTTAGAACGTTGGGCCTCTTTGAAAAGTTATGATAACATAGAGCATCTCTTAAAGCACTTAGATAAAGTGATATTGAATTTAATGGAGAATAATATGCATCAAGTGATACATTCCATTCAGCTTATGGCTGATAACCAATGGTTCGTGACGCATCTCACGGACTTGCTGTACAATTGCGGACAACTACAGTTAATGGGGCAACATCAACTAAAGTAAGTTTCACACTAAAATGAAAGAAACTAGAGAACGTTTACAAACGCATTCAAGTTTTCAGTGATTGCATCAAGTTAAGGGATTCTTTGCTCTACGAGTTTGGCAGTAATCTGATGACGAGGAATTCCTTATGGCAATTGGGCATGGATTACTTGGAGTATTGTTCAGAACAGGGTAAGATACCACCTACCGCAAAAATGACAGCAATTCTTTACTAAATTCCTGCATCAACAGATTTTTTGATTTACGGTTTTTAGTTTTTTTGTGTAGGACACAAAGTTACAAGTGACTAAATTTTCTCTTTTTTCACTTTTTTTGACATTTTGTGCTTATTATAAAGCAAACAAGACTTAATGTTTAAAACTGTTTTGTACATTCCTTAAATGAAGACTTATTATC